AAAAACACCCCCCCCCCCCCCAAAAAAAAAAAATCTTGACAGCTGGTCCAGCAGATGGTGTAACAGGTATGTTGCTGGACTCCCACATGGTTGATTGCCGTTTGAGTCCTGACCTGGTGGCTTGAAACTCACACTGGACACGTGCCATGTGTGTGCACACAAGTGCCCAAGATCCCAGAAGGAGAATGGAGAAGGGATTGCGGTGTGGCCATCCTCCCTGGAGGGTGATTTCTCACTTTCCCTCTCACTGTCTCTCTTTCTCTGGTGAGTACTGGTGCCCTGAGGCAGAAACTTCTCAAGAAAAAACTATGTTGGCAGTTGGCCTTGCTGCAGTGGTGTCTGCTGCTAAGATGCAGTATTCCCGAGGCTGGGACCACATGGGAGCCCTGGGTTTGATTCCTGGTCCAATCCAAAGTCCTGGCACAGTGGTATGCACCTGTAATCCCAGAGACTTTGGAAGCTGAGGCAGGATAATTGTGGTGAGGCAGAAACTTCTCAAGAAAAAACTATGTTGGCAGTTGGCCTTGCTGCAGTGGTGTCTGCTGCTAAGATGCAGTATTCCCGAGGCTGGGACCACATGGGAGCCCTGGGTTTGATTCCTGGTCCAATCCAAAGTCCTGGCACAGTGGTATGCACCTGTAATCCCAGAGACTTTGGAAGCTGAGGCAGGATAATTGTGGTAATAAGACCCTATTTAAAAAAAAAAAAAAAAAAAAAGCAAAAACTGAATAGCTGTTGCCACATTTTTCTCCAGAACCTCCATACCTATTATATTTCTGGCACTGGATGAAGGCGCCATTAACCATCTCTCACTCGGACCCTAAAGCCCATGCCTCTTTTTCCTCTCCGTCACATTGCCCCAAAAAGCCCTGGTATATGCCTGTATGCTCTACTGTGGGACTTGGTGCCCCATCAATCTGGGACTTTTTACTGCAGTTACACTTTTCTTTTTCTTTTTTGTTAAGAGTTTTTTGCTATAGGGTGCGTGTACTCAACCAGAGAGACAGAAAGCAAGAAATCACTCCCCCAGGAGGGATGGCCATACTACAGTCCCTCTCCTTCATTCTCCTCTTGGGATCTTGGGCATGCATGCACATGTGTCCAGCATGAGATTTAAGCCACTGGTCCAGGACTCGAACCATGTTGACTATGTGGGAGTTTAGTGACATAACCATTACACCATCTGTTGGTCCCAGGCTAATTTTTTTCCTTAGTGTTTTAGCCATAGGCTTAAGTGATTACTGGAGAGAGACAGAGAGAAGGACAATGAGAAATCTCCCCTTCCCCCTTAGGGGAATGGTCACACTGCAATTCCTTCTCCTCCATTCTCCTTCTGGGATTTTGGGCACTCATGCACACGTGCCTGGTGTGATTTTCAAGCTGCCAGGTCCAGTACTTGAGCCATCAGTCATGTGGGAGTCCAGTGCTTTAACCACCATGCCACCTGTGGGCCCCAGTTAGACCTATTTCTATCTGTTTCTGGCCAATACTGCTTTCTATTTCCCACACTGGTCTTTCTAAACAGTTAACACTCCTATCACACCCAAACCTAGCTCT